CCACACAACATAGGGCTGAGACCAAAATGCATGTCTCTTAAGGTATAAAAAATGTGCATGCTGAACAGCACTTCTGATTGAAGATGAACTGTGTTTGTCTTTCCATAGGTATATGCTTGAACCTAGCCACAGTATCAAAATGAATGTGACACTTGATTGCACTCGTGTCTTGCATTCTTCTGGCATTTTCTGACTGATTAACAGGTCTGTTTACCAACTGAAGGACAAGTATGTTATGAAGTACTGTAATTTCAGTTCAGATGCAGTTAGTATTGTCTTGTTTTCTTTTGGTATGAACACTGAACCTCAAGCTAACTATCAAAGAAAACAGGTTTCTAACTCAAATTTACTTCACATATCTGGCACTAGTAACAAATATCCCACTGGTGCATTTTGTTTGTTACATCTTTAACCACATGTTTCTTAAGAGACATTTATATGGGAAAAGAAAATTGAAATTAAAATTTAAAAAAATAATTAAAAAGCACACCACTGCTACTTTTTTTTTTTTGCTGGTGTGGTCTATAAGCAGCTGGCAGGTTTGGTTTTTATTTTAAAGTATATACTGTTGAGGAATAGTGTAAGTTCAAAAGGGATAATGGGAAAGTGTCATTTGGTCTAAAATTGTAAGACTAAGACAGAAGAAGGTTTCTTGCACATTACTTGGTATCTGTTTGGTTCACTTAGAATATCTGACCATGAAGAACTACTGTTACATTTCACGTACTTTCAGTATTTGAAGAAACTCGTCAGTTGCTCTTTGAGTACTTATTTATTAAAATCAACTTCTTTAACTTAATTTTCTTTACAAATAGCGTTGACAACGTAATGAAGCAATAAAAATTGAAGATAAATAGTCCTGGAGATTCAGAATCCTCTGTGCCAAAAATTATGGCACTTACTTGATTAAGTGATTGTGGAAATGTTGGGCTGCACTGAGGAAAATAATTAACAAAGCCTATAATCAAATTAATTCGCTCTTATTTACATCTTCACTGATGTGGGTCTAACACCTTATTTTAAATACATGTAGAGAGTTATTGATATCAGTAAGACTCTTGAACTGCTTAAAGTTAAGCATGTGCTAAGTTTTTGTTGGTCAGTGGGTGAACAAGGTCTCCATCCTCTCTTGAAATTCAGCACTTGGCTTTTTGCGGACTTTATGCACAGGGAGAATTTCCCTAAGTAGTTGTAATGATTTGAAGTGAACTACTTGCATGTCTAAGGCAAGTATAATTTAGCCACAAAGTTATTAATTGTTGGGAGGAATGGACTGGAAGAGGCAAGTGATTTTGATGCGGATGAAAAGATGAAGATAAAGTTTATTTTTTAAAAAAATGTTGTTCTTTTTTTAACTACTTTGAGCAAAATGTCCACTAAAGATAATGAACCACAATGACTAACAGCACATCAAATATTTTTGCTTATATTTTTCGGTTAGTTAATGAATTCACCTTCTTAAATAGGAAACTAGATTGAGCTCAAGAACTACTCTAAATGTAATTTTATCTGTTGGATATTAGGTTGCTTTATCTGGAAAAAAAATCCAATCTTCTTCTGTGTTCAAAGATCACATCAGATAACAAGAAATATTTATGCTAAACACTGAAATAGTTTTCTTGAGGTGCAATATTTATTTTTCTGCTTTAACAAGACACATTTGTTGTTTTTCCTGCACAGCACAGATGTTTCTAGTAAAAGGAGTTTTTAAAGGGCACTATTTTTGTGTATCATATTTAAATTTGTAATAATGTAAGATTTTGCACAAGTGTGCTGGTATTGTACTGTATAGTATCACATACTTGAGTTTTGAAATAAAAGAATGGTTTCAAATTCCTCAGTGTTGCTACCTTAACTGTTTGGGTTTCACATGTGCTCTGTCTGCATATTAATGGATGTGTTCTTAGGAACTACATACCGCCTTGGCTATACCGTGTAACGTAGTGTCATGTTACACATCCCAGACGTCTCACTTCAGGAGAATGATGTAGAAGAAGCAAGCGAACTCCTGTTTCAATAGAAATTCAAGTGTCTGTAAGCAGGCTCATCCCTGTTGTGCCCTAGAAACAAGATGAGAGAGGAAACTGAAATATCCTGGAGAGAGGAAACTGTAACATCCTCCTGCTTCAGAGGGAGGCTGCCTGTCACTGAGGAGGTTGAACGCAGAAAGCCACAGGGGATACCTGTGACCAAAGGAGACTGAGTGGAAGGTTAGGATTCCTTACCTGCTTTGTGTTCTTGTAGGCCGGGAAGGTCTGGGAAACCTGGGCTTTGTGGAGACCTGAACTGCCAGACCAGGAAGGAGACAATGCTCAACTTCCACAAAGAACAGAAATGTCACTTCTGGATCTCTGATGGTCTGTGTCAGGGAGAAAAACTTTGGGACAAGAACAACCTTGAAAGGAATGACTGTTACCAGGAAAAGACCCTGATGTTTGTATTTTTCACATAAACACTTTTTTCTAACTTGTTTCTTCTTCTGTTCTTCAGGCTTCAAGGTTCCTTTAGAAGTGATTGTAGAGAACAGTCAAGTCTCTCCTCCCATAGCAGAAGTTTTCTGTTTAGCAATCCTCAGGAGCATTTTAAAATGTGCTGGCATGAGATGCTGGGAATTTTCCTTATATTTTACTCTAGGTATTTAGGTCAAAATGCTAATTAAATATTCAGTATAAGGGTGCTCTTTTTTCATCACGCAAGCTAGTACAAAGAAAAACATGTTAAAGACCTTTTATACTGTTACAGTCCAGGTAGATGATCTTCCACATACTTTTGGAGCAGATGAAATATAGAAAGGACAAAACTGATTAAAAAAAAGGTTCTTTTGGTCTCATTTCATCATTCTAAAATTTTTTTCTCCCTCTCTGAATCTTTAGTTTGTTCTTACAAAAGCACATGAACTTACTTTTTTTGTTTGTTGTTTCAAAGGTGTTTATCTCATTTTTCCAGCTACAAATCCTACTAAACATCAATAGCACGGACAGAGTTTGACTAAAGAAACTTTGCCACAGTGAGGATAATAGGCACAAAGTGTTAAAACTGGAAGGAGAATTAGTGTGCAATTTTAAAATGCCAGAAACCCAGCGTTTGGTTAGTTTTCATGGTAGAAAATACTTAGCACTTAAAGGTAAGCATGGAGATGGTAATATTTTGTGTGATGTTCTCGGTGTTTTACAGCCACAGTGTACTAGTCCATGAGAACTACAGAATTACTGTTCCTACATTATAAATGCAAGTGAATCCACTTAGAATTTGCTTCAGTGAGAGTAAGTCTGACTACACTATTTCAGATTCCCATCACTTTGTAGAGACAGGTAAGTACAATACCATAAAGCAGTTAACAGAAATTGGAGCAAGAAATCTGTCATAAGTTCTGAGGGAGCTTTACAAACATCCAGTTGCAAATCACAGCCCAAACACAGCCCAATTTTAATCTCTTTATTGCTAATGGGGACATCATTTCATTAACCAGCATACTCCAGTCAGCCCTGTATATGCCTGTCTATGCTATAGTATACCCATAACCATGTTACATGCTGCTGTAAGAGATTGGTCCTGTGCCCAGATAAATACTTAATACTATCTTTATATATAAAGTGGGAACTTTCTGCAAACTGCAGTTTGAAGACATAGCTAATGTTACACTTGTATTTACAGGACTTTGAAAATGGCCTGGGGATGTAGGACCTCTAGAAGTGTCGTGATTTACAAACTGAACATGATATAACAAAATCATCCTGTTGCAAAAAAAGGCTCATAACATTCTGAACTGTGTAAGCAGGTAAAGTAATTTGTTAATCAGTACTTGGCATTTACAAGGCCTCAGCTAGAGAAAGAGTGAAAAAGCTGGGGTTTCTTAGCTGAAAGAAAGTGGGAGCAGAAGCGTAACTCCTTAAATACATAAGATTGTTGCAAAAGGTAAGGGAAGAAACTCTTTTCCATGCCCATTTCCAACAGGAAAATAAGTGATAGGTTTGCACCATGGTGTGGGTAAGAAATATTAGACTAGGAAATACCTTGTAACAGTAAAGGACAGTGTAGCACTGGAACAGAGCATTTGAGGAAATGTTAGGAATTTGTCACTGGAAGCCTTTAAGAACAGGTTAGACAAACATCTGTCAGGAATACCATAAATACAGCCGACCGTACTGACAGTAGAGAGAAGTAGATGATCTCTTGAACCCCATTCCTGATGTTTGCTGGAATCTCTGCAAAAAGAAAAATAATTTCTTTGCTAAGACTTCCTGAAGGTTTTCTAAGTTATAGCCGTGAGGATCATCTGTGTTTGGAATTAATCTGTTGGAATCACTGCTTGTTGGAACATCACAAATGGTAGCAGTGAAGGGACTGGCTCCCACCTCTGTCCCTACAGTCTCACAAGAAATCCCATTTATGGTAGTGTATCTCGAAATCTGTTCAAAAGTAAATATCATTATATCTCTCTGTTAGGGTACCTATTTTTGCATTGAACTCTAATGCAAAGGAAGGTTAAAGTACTACATCAAGATATATAGGATAGTGGGGAATGGATGACCTTCCAATTCCAAAAGAAAAATCCTGCCTGGCATGCTGTGATACAATACAGAATTCTTTTTATTTACCAGATGAATAGACAACATGAGTAATGAGCTGCTAATCAGTAAAACAGGAAAAAATAGCAAAATAAAAATGTCTTTCGAAGTGTTTACTGGCTTAGGAGTCCAACAGTCTTATCTCCCTTCCTCAGCTGTGTTTTCTGAGTCAGCAGTAGTTAAATTTTCCAGCAAGCCCTACATGAAAGAAAGTAAAAAGGGTGATTAGGGATTTCCAGTCAGTGACCACACCTTTGAGTGGGACAGTGGACAGATTTGCTCTGACATTCTTTCTATGAAGCAATGCAGTGACAGCTGAACTTGCTTTCAAGAAGTCATCTCAGAGGTGGTCTGACAGTATCCAATACCTTCACTTGTCTTAGCACAGGAGACAAATCACCTTGAATTTCTTAATTTTCCAAGTTGGTGATAATGGAAACTTATTTTGGAGTTTCCTCAGCAGTATTTTTCCTCTGGGTTATGACATTCATGGCTGGAAATTGCTTTGTAACAGGTATGTAAAGTTGTGCTTTTTAAAGTCTTCTAGCTGAACAGTAAAGTACTTAAAAAAGTAGCTAGATTTGTAAACAAAAATGGGAGGAGTGTGTGTAAATGTGTTTTTGGCATAGGAAACCAAAGAGTTTTGAGAATACTATGCAACAAAAACTACTCCAGCATATAGAGAACTTTCATTATTAGCCTAATTACTGTCTAAATGCTGTAACGTTATTGTCTAAATGCTACGGAACTGCTTGTTTTAAAGATTTGGTATTGCATTTAGGATTAAGTTCAGATCTATTGAAAAGTGATCTTATTTTGCATTATTTAAATGTTTAAAACACACCAGCAAAGAGTTTTGTACAATTCTCAGAGAGCAAAACACGCATGAAACCAGTTCTGTGTGTCCATGATCATGCTGCTTTTAGTTGGGGCAAGGGTAATCTTCTGCATGGTGACTGGTAGGAGGCTATGTTTCTGGATTTACCCTGAGAATAGTACTAATAAGGTGTCTTTTTAGCTGGTGCTGAGGAGTGCCTGCACCAAATTCAAGGTCTTTTCCAGCTTCTGATACTGCAGCTGTATTCACAGCTCTCTCACTACAAGCAGTGTGGGGACACACACCATTCGGACAGCCAACCCAAAGTGGCTGTAGGATTATTTCATTCCATAGCACGGCATGCTCGGTACATAAGCGGGGAGTGGGCAGGGGGCCACAGCTTGTTTGTTAGCTCGCTTGTTTGTTAGTAAGCTGATGGGTCGGTGGGCTTTCCCCTTCGGGCTGTTGCTCGTGGGGCTCACTCAGACTCTACTGGGATGGCTCTGGCTCCAGGACTCTCTGGCTCTGACTCTTACTACTGTGCATCAGTCGGCTGGTGGTGTGCAATTGTATAATTTGTTTTATTTTCTATCATTTTGATTACTTAGTAGTAGTAGTAGTATTGTTAATATTATCAGCACCACTATAGTATTCTTATATTCAATCATTAAATTTTTCTCAATTCATTCATTTCTCAGTCTCAATTCATGAGCTTCCTTGTCCTTTCCTCCAACTCTCCTCCTCCAGTGGAGGAGGGGGGGAGGTGAGCGAGTGGCTGCATGGTACTTAATTGCTAGCTGAGGTTAAACCACGACAGTGATCAAGTGCTCTCTTTAATGAAAAGTGTTTTGCTCTGATTTGGCCATATCCTGACACTGTCTTGAGTTGCAACCCTGAAGAAAATGTGTGGCAGGGATCTCGCAGTTCATCTGCAGGGCAGTCATGCCTGTCTCTTGTTAATACTGTGCATAAGTTCCTATTTCATATAAACTATCTGTTTGAAAATGTTAACACAGGGCATTGCCAACATCAACTTTATCACACAGTTCTCCTCTTTCAAACATTATTTTAAGAACCTATTTTTTCAATCATGGACATATAGTACCCCTTTCTGCTATATGTTAGTGAAATCTATTGTCTTCTTCAAATTCTATAACTTGATGCAATCTATTCTAACTGCAGTACCTACTAGGATATCTGCAGGCACTAGATGCACATCAGATGTTTCCAGATGTTTCACTGTAATTTGCAAGGAATAAATGCTTGTTCTACCTGTGTAGAAGAACATACGCTACTGTTGCAGAAAAATGATTTTTATCTACTCAAAGGCTTCTGAAGGAAACCTGGACTGAGGGAATTAGATGCTCAACTCAAGTCCTACTAAAATTCCACAGGATTGGAGTACCTAACAACAGTAGTCTCCTCCAGCAATCCCAACCACTGATTAATTTTCACTGGGGAGATGCAGCGCTTGAGTCTTAAGGCTGTTCCTTCCAGCTGTTAGGACCCCCTTAGTTCCCCTCCAAGCCTCCCCTGGGGTACCTACTCATGCACCCTCTGCTCATTGGTCCAAAAGCTCCAGTTAGCTCAGGGCTGATCTCCAGCTGTGTCTTTGAGCTGCCCTGTTCCCTCCTGTGACTTACTGACTGGGCTTCACAGGTGGACGCTGGACTTAGGTTGTAGGTAGCCTTGTCTCCAGGATGGATTTCAGGCATGTGTTATAAGTAGAACCATCTTCTGCTGTTCCCAAATGGACCTTCTGGATGAACTCTGCATCTGACTGACTGTCTTGCTCTCTCTGGGGCTGCCAGTGAGACCTGCCACTGTCACCACTATGGTTCTGTTCAGGTGCTGTGGGCTGTGCCAAGGTCGGCGGGGCCACTGTGCTGCCTATGCTGCACTCTCAGCTCCTGGCTCCTCTTTCCTTGTAGAACAGCCTCATCCCTGCTGCTCCCTCACATCAGCAGCCAAAGAAAGTACTCTCTAATAAATCAGAGTGATGGCTTGCTGCAAGGCAAAGAGGTAAAAACAACAGCTTCCCACAAAAAAGCAAGAGAACTAATGCACAATACCCACAGCTTACACAAATTGAACTATTTTCTTCCTGTCCTATGACAACTTTGTCTTGTTGTGAGATTCTTCTGTCCACGTCTTCTCACCTTTCTCAGTAAAACAGATTTTTCACACAAAAAACAAATATTGAGGAAAATGTCCCCTTCTTAGTACTTTAACTAAATAGAACAAGGCTTAAATCTATGTGTAGCTTGTGGACCAAAAAGGATAACATGCTTCTAAAGGACTGTCTCCTGTACAAACTCAATCATCTTTAGAACAGAGTTCAGAAGTGATTTAGGAAGTGATGAAAAGACTTGAAGAGGCTACTGTTCTCTTTCTGGATTTCTTCCACTCACTGCAAAACCATCTGGAATTTTGATTGAAGCTGATAACTTTTCCAAAACTTTTCTTTTATTTCAATGTTTTGTTTTAAAAGGCTTAGCAAATTCTAAGGTATGACTTGGTCCATGCCCTACAGTCACTTTTCTTATCACTTAAGACTTAATTTTCTGGTACTGGATTTTCCTATTATGCTATGTATTTACCATGCAGTTCTCATGTAAGATTATTTGTTCTGTAATTGAATAACCAAAGAATGTAACAGTTTACAATTATCTATGCAACTTTCTAAGGTTTCAGGAAATTTCATTCAGTCGTCTGCTCAGCTTTATTTGAAATTTGTATAGATGGCCATTGAGAAATTTTCACTCTCAATATGACATTTTTTTAGAAGTTGTATTATCTCAAATCTAAAGATAGGAAAATAATTGACTAAGTAAGCAATAAGAGTGAAGTCTGAGCATAAAGAGTAGTAAGGGGAGAAAGGAATTAGGCATAAACCCTAGAGGAGGAGCAGGGTCTTGAAAGCTAAGAAAGAGGACTTGTGGGATATGCCTCAACCGCTGCCATAGGGAGTTATTGAGGAAACCAGAACCAATTCTCAAGAGGACTGCAAGAGTTGCCTGTTAGCAAAAGGGAATCAAGAAAACTTAACACTGAGACACAATAGAATAGAATAGAATAGAATAGAATAGAATAGAATAGAATAGAATAGAATAGAATAGAATAGATCTATTGATCGTCTAGTCCAATTGCCTGACCAGTTCAGGGCTGGTGAAGCTAAAATAGGTTGTGAAGAGCATTGCCCAAATGCCTCTCAAACACTGACAGGCGTGGGGCATCAATCACCTCTCCAGGGAGCCTGTTCCAGTGTCTGACCTCTCTGACACAGAAATACTGTAACCAAAATGAAGACATACAAGAGGGCATTCATGAAGACAGGCTGGCTCAAAGGAAGACATTTGACAGTGTGAATCATCTTCACGCTGGGACTGCTTGGATAGCCTTGAAGTCCTTGATACCTACACACACATCTTCACTGAGCAACAGGGCTTCTCTGCATCCTCATGCAGTATGTCTGGGCTTGCCTTACGATCAAGTCAGGGCTGGATGCAGAAGCCACAATTTGGCTATGGGGACTGCTGAAGTATTCAGTGGTTCACCTGCCATGTGACTGAGTCTACACCATACCAGAAGGGGTGAATGGGAGGCCACACCCTCCATCGCTGCTGAGATAAATCCACCTAATTCAGTGATTGCTCTACCAAATATTTAAAACTAATTAAACTAAATGTAAGGACAGCAGAGATGCGTCTTTTATCAGAAGGCATTTCCAACCCCACCACACCCAGTGGGAGCTGGAGTGCAAAGCCTGCATTTCTTTTAGTACTCCATACAAGCTTCGTCATCTTTCCTCCCCTTCTCATCATGGGAGTGGCTTGGCTGCCAGTTCTGTCTTTTCATTCATAAAATTCAATTTAACCTCTGTTGTTCAGAAGTCATGTGGTGGATCTGCAGGCATCACTTCATCCTGCCTTGAGAGTTTGTGGATTGCCTGTATTCTGATGCATAGATTTTATGAAGTATTCATTAGTGTACATACCTGGTGAGCGCACAGTCTGAAAAGCAGATGGAGCAAGGAAGTGGCTGTTGGTTATCTGAAAGGTTTGCAATGAAATGTTGAAACGTCTTATGTAATATGGAAATTACTGTATGCTTCTGGTGAAATACAGAGGTAAGAGAGTAATACGCTTTCTCCTTGTCTATGTCAAATCCTGAATTCTGTCCTACATCCTTAACACAGGCTAAGAAAGTAGGCCAAGTGTAATCAGACTTCAGCTATGCATTTTCTGGTGCAGGTGTCATGAATAGTGTACCAGCTATCTCAAAAAGCTGATGAACTGCCTATGGGGAAGAATGAGGAAAAGTGTCATAAATTCACCCAGCCAATCCCCTCTTTTCCTGCTGCCTGCCAAGCACTCAGTAAATTAAACACTTGACAGTGGCTGGTGGTGGAAGCATCATGCCAAGCTAGAAAAAAAAAATTGTAAGTTTAGGAGGAATAAGGAACATAAGGAATGATAAACTCTTTATAGATGTATTTTCTTACTGGTATATTAATTCCATGAAAAAGTATGTATACAAGCTTTGATAGAACTCATATTGGTAAGAGTGGTGTACTGACAGAATCCGTACCTCAGTGCAACTATTAGTTTTAGCATTCTAATTTTTTAAAAAAAGGATAAAATCCCTGTCTGATTACTCTTCCTATTTTTCATGAAAAAGTATGACAAATAAGAGTGTCTTTAGTAAGAAACTGACTCAAGGTAATGACTCAAATGCCAACTGTATATGCATATGTTTATGTAACAGTCAAACCTCTTGAAATTCTAGACTATTGTGTTAAGAAAATATGTTCTGGTTTTAAAGTATGCCTTTTTTTCTAGTAATTAGTTGTCTGCTCTCCTCAAGCTAGAAACCTTTAACAATGTTCAATTCAGTTGAACGTAATCTTAAATTCCTCGTGAGGAATAAATGTTAATATTCAAATTCTAACCTATATTTATGTTTAAATTACAGGTTCCATTCTTTCACCTTGCAGGATCACAGGTGTAGGAATTTATCTTGAGGAGAAAGTGAATCTCTCAGAAGCAAGTAATGCATGTAATCAACTGAATCTACAATTGGCAAGTAAAGACCAAGTTGAAAAGGCTTGGACACATGGCTTTGAAACATGCAGGTATATGACAACAGTTAGTGTCTCATTACCTTTAGTGATCACCTTTACACACTTCTGAGGCTGGTGATAAATCTAGTATTAAAAGGACTGATGCTTTTTGTTGTAGTTATGGATGGGTGAAAGATGGATTTGTTGTCATTCCTCGGAAAACATCCAACAAGAAATGTGGTAAAGGCCACACTGGAGTAGTGTCATGGAATGCTGAACCCTTTAAAACATTTAAGGTTTACTGCTTCAATTCCTCAGGTATGTAAGCATGAGAACTACATTTTTTGTGGTTTGGGTTTTATTATTTTTTAATATCTGCATGAAAAAAATTGTAACAAGTGAGTGAGTTGTTATAACTTGTTGGCCCGCCTCCCCCCAGACTTAAATGTTGTCAGGTTGGGCTCTGTAGGGGAAAAAAGCTTCCAGGAAATACAAAAGGTCAATTCAGTTAATCCAAATTAATAATTTGGTGCTGCCATGAAATCTCTTGAAGAAGAGTTGCTTTTACCATTCTGTAATGTTGACACAATGTTCTTAGTATGTTTTGATTATTTAGGCACATTAATTTGAAAGACAGTGAATGAAATCTTTACCCAGGAGGTCTGTGTGTGGTATGTGTATTCTTGTAAAAAGACCAAGAGTGGGGGACTTCAGTTGAATGTTTTTTTGAGAAAAGGAAATGGATCCATTAAACTGAATTAAAATATAAGCTAGAACAGCTAAGAGGCCATACCATTAACTAGGTTCCAAATCTATTACCAGTAAAAAGAAAGCTTACTTTAATGGGCATCGGCCTATGTATGAGAAGACCTGTCCTTCCCCTCATTCTTGACTGCCTTTTGACAGATTGCAGATACAACAGTGGAACTTAGGCCTTGATATGTTAGATCTTCTCAACACAATAGTTAATACCACAGAAGTCATTAATAAACAAACAATAATGACCTGAAAACACAGATTTAACTAGAGGCATTGTGTTCCTGCTAATGTCCCATAGGTATGGTTATTATGTAACAACTATCCCAATACTTGGACCATATACCGGGTCAAGAAATCATTTCTAATCAGTCCCTAGACCTTGTTAATGAGTTTTAGATAACAAAAGCAAGAGATTATGTACAAAATCATGAATTTTTTCAGGAAAGATGTGTGAACAACAGTTGGAAAGAGCGGGAGAAAGATGGATATGCAACATGTGCCCATGCAAAGATATAAAGACCTAAGACCATGTCTGTTGACTGTGAACATCGAAGTTTATGAAAAGACTGAGGATAAAGCTGTTAGGGAGAAGGCCATGCCTTCACCAGTGGGACTTCGTTCATGGTGCTGGGCCATTTTATGAAGGAGGGAGGGTAATATTAAGTAGGTGGCTTACAAAGTATCTGACTGCTGATAAGAAAGAACTGCAGAGAGAAAGCATCATTAAAAATTAACTTACCACCTAACCCGTAAAGTTAAAAAGGACATGATTGTGCTAACTTGGTTTTCTCTACAGCCCACAGCTCTTACTGATGAGTGCATAGGTGAATTAGTACTTGGGCAACATGGTCTAAAAGAAGCTGCTGTTATTGCTACTGTTATTTCCTCCATTCCCATGCAACATGGTGTTTCAGTGCATGAAATATGGGTCATTCTGTATCAGAAATGTTGGGTAGGTTCGGTAATGCTAAGGAGGTAGAAAGTAATTCCAAATTACTTGCTTGGTTTAGCTTTAATTCAAAACAATTTTACAGTGTGTGAAGAAAGTTAAGCCTGCTGAATGGTTAGGAAATAACTTGAAGTAACATTAACATTGGGATGATTCTGCATTTCTTTATCTTAATTGCCAAACTGTTGCCTGTTCTAGCTATTTCTTACCCAAAATATTTGGCAGAAGTTTATTCTGTCATTTTGTTTGTGCCAAAGAAATGCCAATATCACTTGAAAACTGTAGTGGAAAAAGCAAAAAGCGTCTGCTTTTTAGCTTTTTATTCTGTGGATGTAACTGCGTCATCAGACCTCCCATTGGGACTCATTTGGAGAACAGTACATACATCATTTTCCTGTAATATATGTTGTATCTGCTTGATACTTCACTTAACATTTTAGAGCTTTACAGAATATACAACTTTACTGGAAAAGCAGAATTTTCATGTTTTCACATGAGTGCAATTCAGAACTCAGCTTTTCCATGTACATATGAAAGTCCACTGGCACACAGGTTTTTATAGAAACAACATTCACATCATTTAAATGACTTAATTACTGAGTGTGCCTGAAGTTTGTTGCTTTCTAGTCCCCATTAGAATTGTGTCACTCTTTTATCTCACACTGGTGTCTGGGTTACCTGAAAATGCCACACTTGCTCAAAAAGGCATTTAACTATGTGAATAATGATAAAAGCTGTGTAATCTGGGTGGTAGCCACATGTTTGAGACAGGCATGCCTGGTTTGGGTAAGGCTTTTGCGAATAAACAAATAATAACTTCCAGAAGGCAATGGCTGGGGAACAATCTCAGTGAACGTGTTCACTGAGCAGCCCCACAGCTCTTGTTTATTTCCTTTCCCTGCTGCAGATGTTCACATTAATTCATGTAAACCAGATCCAACTACAACCATACCTCCATCAAGTGCCCCAACGGACTTAACTGCATATTCAAGCTCTGCTTTGACGGAGAACATCTCAGAAGTGCCTGGTGTGACTGAGTTAGAGAAAACCCTGAAAAACAGAAAATTCCGCGTAATATGTGTAACCGAAACTATAATACCAACAGAGGGGACTACTACAAAAATGCCAGAGGAATACTCACCAACTGACTCCTCTAAGTATACTTCCCACACTGCCTTTAAGAATGATGCCGTTGTCTTTGGAGGTAAAGGCCATATACGGTAGCTATTTATTCAGAAGGGCTAGTTACGTAGATGTGAGTAGTAAACCAGTGTACTGCTGGCTTTATTGGCTGCTCCAGCACCCATTGGGATACAGCTGATACAGTTTTGCAAAAGCAAAGCTTATAAGGCAGAGGATTTTTTAATAATTTTTAAGAAGAAGTAAGATCTTATTTTATACTTTTGGATAATATTTTAATATGAAATGGTGGAAGTGCATTCTGGTTAGCCCATGATTTGGGGTAAATACATTTCTGAGAAAGTCTTAGCAAACACCAGGGTAATCGAAAACTCAGCAGGCCCCTAAAAGAAGCCAAGAAAGTTTTAAGGAGAATTGTTGTTCTCCAGATATGGAGGTGTTCTCGAAATACAAGGTATGATTAAGTAATCCTAACATACAGCAATGGTGAAAGAGACTGAACATATGGAAAAGCATTCTAACTGTAAGGATAGTTAATCACAAAAATGTGTTCTCTAGGCAGGTTGTACAGACCCTCCAATGAGCAGACTAGACAAACATCTGTCAGGGATTGGATAACTACCTGGTTTAGTCTCTTAAAAAAATTGAGGAGGAGGAACTAACCTTTTGAGTTTCCTAATACTTCTGTTCTTGAGTTGATGTGTGTGTACCTCTTACACTAGGCTGCTTTTAGAAGAATCTGGATTTATGCTCATGAGCCTTTAGAAAGTCAGCATTAAATACATATAAAAACTCAATTCTTGCCTCACTTTTATCTCTAGGTATCCCCACTGCACTTCTGGTACTGGCAGTCATCTTCTTCATTATTTCAGTTGTTCTAGCAGCCTGCTATATCAAAAAGTAAGTGGGGTTTTTTTTGGTTTTTTCCCTCTTGGAGTGAGTTAACTCCTAGAGTAAAGCAGCAATTAATAGTTTAATTATACAGCTAAGGAGAAGTAATGATACATTAGATACAAGGTAAAAGTTTTTATTCTTGGACTATGATTGCATACAGAAAAAAATAATTGTTGAGCTCATTTGTAATGCATAAAGATCTTCAACATAGTGCATCATTAAATGGTATCAAAAGGTTGCGTGTGTTTCTCACATCCTAGCCCAGACAGCTTTATCATTATGTACCATGAATCCTGAATATACATTGTCTGTTTAAAAAATAAATACAAAAATATTTCTTTAAAAAGCATGCTGCTTGAAAAAGCACAATAATCTGGCATGCCACTATTCTCTGTGAGACATTTGCTTGAGTATGGCAAAGAAAGTTAATTCTAGATATTTTTCACTTTATTTCTTGAGTGATACTACCAAACTATGTCAGTGTTTCTGCTTTACTACCATTTTTTTCTATTTAAAGGTACAAGAAAACATTCCCATTTTCGAACAAGAGTCAGCAAAAAGGAATGGTTGAAACTACGGCTCTCAAAGAGGCTAAGTCAAATGACAAAACACCTGAGAAGGAAACAAAGAATAATGGAAAAAAGGTAGAAGAGTCTAAAACCAAGTCCGAGGCCACAGTAAAATGTCTAGAAGCAGAAGTTTAAGGGGAAGAATGAAATACAAAAACAGAAATATAAAACAAAGCACACAGAACTTAGCAATGCTTTTCAACATGGGTGATTGTAAATACTCATGAATTATCTTCTTTATCCTAACATATGAAAACTTGGGTTTTATTAATTACATCTTTAGCTATAAATGCTCTTGCAGAAGAACATGCTATCTTACTTACTTGAAATAAATTAAAAATCCATACTACAGCTCATTTTTCATCTTTAATCAGGAAGTAATTAGGCACTGGCTCTTCGCTACATGCAGTGTGTTAATATATGCACGGAATTCAGGTCAAAATATAAGGAAAACTGTTTTTTAATCTAGCTGGAAGATGTCTGCTAACTTAATGACTAAAATAAAATGATGATACTACAGCTCTTCCTCATGTAGATTAGCTTATTTCCATTAAGTGTTTGCATACTGCTTTAAAAAAAAGTCTGTTCACAAACAGAGTAAGTCTGTTTACAACTGAGTGAAAAATCAAAGGATCAACCCACTGCCATTCAAATACTCAAGGAAGGGTACAAAGATGCTGGTTTATATATATATATAGCAATGAATAACTTTCGTAGACAGCTTTCATCATATCATAATTTACTGGTTTATTTATTAAAACCTGAATTGTTCTTCTGCATCAGGTGTTTGACAAAGGGAAAAAAACCCCAAACTTGAACCGTATCTCAACAGTTATATTTAAGATCTTTTGTGTATATTTAAGTGTGGCTTTCATAATAAAGTTCTCAAGCAGTATGGGATGTTTACAATACTTCATAAAAAATAAAGTATGGTAGATACGTCTGGACAATTTATTCTCATGAAAACTGTCTCTCAGTAGAAATAGCCTTAAAGTACAGAAGCAATTAGTTGCTATAAAAGAACAACACTAGCAATTTATCAAATATTATCTTTTATAAGTGGCTTAGGTAACTTACTTTTTTATGTGAAGAAGGTTATTATGCAAAGGAAGTTTCTTTTTAGATCAAGCAGCTTGAAAAACAGAGTCTTAAGTAAAATAGCAATAGAACTGCTCACCTATATTGTGTTTTCTACAGTGTATGATACTGGATTATGAGCTTTCATATTTTTGATTCACAGAAATTTAAAAATTGCAGTGGTTACATATACCACTATAGTGAGTTAAACTGTATTTCTAGCAGCATACTTAACAGATTCCCTGTGTCAGTTTTTGTTTTCTTTTTTTTGTTCCTGATAGCTCAGAAATATTTCATGGCTCCAAGAGTCTGGATTGCGTTGATACACAGTCCACCACTGCCACTAAAGCTCTACTACTGCAGAAAGACTGTGATTCAGTACAGCTCTAAAAAACGCTAATTTCAGGTGTCCATCAACAGAATTGTAGCAGAAAAATGTGGAACAGATGAAAGCTCTAGCTACAGCCCTCCCACTCAGTTAAGTAATTCCTGTCCTTGCAAAATACTGCAGTAATGCCATGTATCTCTCCTGGTAACTGGAATGAGAGCACTGTGTCGTGTGAGCAGTGAGGGCAGATGGCAGAAGTAAGGCCATCAGGAAAGGCCACAGCCAACACTTGTCATGGTGGTGTCAGAAAAGCAAATGGCCTTAAGGAAGGACACAGGCAACACCACTGGGTTCCGGGTAATTTTGGAGTTTTGTTTGACATATTACAATTTCCCTTCTGCTTCTCTTTTCCATGTTTTAGAGATTAGAAATTACCTGTTTGTCTATTCTGTTCTCCACCACCAAGAGATAATTGTCTCTCTCACTCTCCTACCAATATATCACCTCTATTCCACTATCAACGTCCTTTTCTCTCAGATTGTCTAACTTACACCTAAAGAAATTTTGAAAATTATTCTCCAGTTCCACTCTGGTTGGAAGTTTGTTGCTTCTGTTTTAGATATAAACAAAGGCACTTCTTTCCCCTGCAGTGTTCACTTTCTGAAAAATCTGTACTAGCTGATATAATAAGATACTCCATTAACCTCTGAATGTCTTGTCATGTACCTTAAAAATTCAGACAGCTTCCATCAGACCTTCACACTGACACCTGCCCAATGGCCATAGCTTGAGCTGCCCCTCCTTTCCATCAGACGATTAATGCAAACACGACAAAGGCTAAAAGGAACGTGTTAGGCTGTTCTGTAGGTAGCGAAAGCTGTAAGTACTAATCAACAAGGACTGTATTTGATTGTATGCAATGAGTCACATTTGAACTAGAGTACAAAACGTTCTTGCTCACTGTTTAATAGAATGGCAAGGGATGTACAACTACAAAGCAAACAGGAAACATTTATTTAAGTTCTAGACAGTGTCAAAAACCCAAAGCTTTAGCTGGTAGGAGCAGAAACTTCAGAGAAATTCATTATGTTTCTGACTTTTCCTCAAGTGTCGTGCCTTTTTTTACAAGACATTCTCAACAACTATGAAGTTCCTTGATGTCTCAGAAATTGTTTTATTCTCAAGTATCTTGGACAAGTAACTCGTTCCGCCTAGCAGACCAGTTTGTATTAGTCACTTGACAGTAACACTCCTCAGATTCCCACACTGGGGCTACAGATGTTTGCTGACCTTAGGCAAAAGGGGCGGTTGGCCTGCAGGAAACACGGCTGAGTTCCCAGTCCAGCCCAGTCCCTGTCTGGAATACAGGGGCGCCTTTATCGTGGGAAGCACGTGCGCCTATGTGCAAACAGAAGCGGGCAGGAAGGGGAAGCACTACTCCTTTTCTCCTCTTTAAATGAAAAAAACCAACGCCGCACAACTCTAGAATTAAGCCTTGAAGCATCAGGATACAGATGACCTAGAGGATGTTCTAGGATTTCTGTTTCTGAGCTTATCATTCCTGGGCGTGGGTTTTTTTTTTTTTGCAAAAGGTCAGTGAGCCTCGACCTTTGGCACAGCCAGCCAACACCCACCC